TCACAGTTAATCCTCTGGAGGCCAGAGTAATCAATGCTGGTAGATTTTTCTCAATTATCTTCCCTGACATTCTCCTGCATCATTCTGTATAAGGGACGCTGGACCCGTTTTCTAGCAGGTGATGCTCCCCACCAATAGATGGAGCTTCTATTTAAAAAAAAAAAAAAAAAAAAAAAGATTGGAATCATCATAATAGCCTTAGCTAATAGGGGGAGCCCCCCTTAGGGAGAGTTCATGTCACCTCCAATCGTCGGCCCTCCGTGGATGTTTCTGCAAAATCATAAATAAATAAATAAATAATGGGCCACAAAAATAGCAGACGAAGAGGGCTTCACTATGATGTTTCTGCAAAAATCATAAATAAATAAATAATGGGCCACAAAAATAGCAGACAAAGAGGGTTTCACTATGCACACAAAAACCAGGAATGCAATGACGGAGGCGTCATGGCTGGCCAAGGGACCGAGAAAATACCTTGTTGCCCACAACTTTCGTCGCGCGGAAGTGCGTTCATGATGACTGCATCTTACCTAGTAGGTGTTCTCTTTTTTTTCCTTCTCTTTTTTTTCCTTCTAAGTTATAAAGACAGCATATGTCGGGGCCGGGGTCCCACTAGCAAAGAGGATTGGATTGAACACCTGAATCTGGCCTTGTTTGTGGAAAGGTGCAGAATGTCGAGATTGATTTGCTTTTCCGCATCTCTTGCAAAAAACACGTCCAGATTCAGGATATTCATCCAACCCCTCTTTGCTAGTGGGACCTCACCCCGGGCTGTAAGGAAGGCTGAACATTAGTTGCTCTGCCAAACAGGCAACCTTACAGTAACTGTAGTCGCGGTTGTGGCAAGGCAAACAAAAACATGAACGTTAAATTCACAGACAAAATACTATTTTCACCCAGTCCCACAAAGTCTGATTGCTTTTAGCAGAGGTCCAACACCCCCCTTTGACCAAAGGTCCAACAACCTCGTTATACCAAAGGTACAACACCCTCCTTTGACCAAAGGTACAACACCCTCCTTTGACCAAAGGTCCAACACCCTCCTTTGACCAAAGGTCCAACACCCTCCTTTGACCAAAGGTCCAACATCCTCGTTTGACCAAAGGTCCAACACCCCCCTTTGACCAAAAGTACAACACCCTCCTTTGAGCAAAGGTAC